GAGAATCGAATGGAAAACAAGGATTCATGTGGCTAATCCACTCATTTTGAGTTCTCAAATGAGGTTAGGTCAATCCCACATCGAGTTTCGGGGTCAAAACAGGGTTTTCTGGGCTGTTTAGGGTCGTTTCAGTGGGAACCGGTCGACCGGTGACAGAGGAGTGTAACTCCACCGGTCAGCCGGTGGAGAGGTGACTGGTCGACCAGATCAGTCGACCTATGGAAGGGTGACCGGTCGACCGGACCGGTCAACCGGTGGGGAAGAATTTCCAGGGCCAACTATGGCCGATTCGCGAAGAACAAAGCCAAAACCTGCAATTTTGGGTCTGATTTTGACATATTCTCAAGGGAAATGTATAGATCCAATTTTAAATCAACAAATGGGGTCCAAAGAATCAAAAACCCCCAATTTTCATCAAGGTTTCACCAAATCCCATTCGGATTCCATTCGAAAACAAAATTTAAACCAAAAATCACCAAACTCGACTAAAACGAGTTCCACAAAGCTAAATCCGAAAATCTAAAGTAAGTTTCAAAGAGTTTTACCTCGATCCAAGCTTTGATGTTGAAAACCTCTTGGAAACCTCCGTTTTTGGTTTAAATCCGGCCCTTGAGAAAGAAAACTTTGAGAGAGAGAGGGAGAGATGAACGGGAGAGGGAGAGAGAGAGCTCGAGTTAGAGAGAGAGAGTAAGGGAGAGAGCTCAGGAGATTGAGAGAGGGAAGGAGAGAGAGAGAGGGAGAGTAACGTGAGGAAGGGAAAGGAAAAAAAAAAGGGAAATACGGAAAAAGGAAAAGGAGAAATAGAAGGAAAAGTATTAAGGAAAAATAAATAAAACAAATAGGGGTGAAATTGCAAATACTAAGAATAAATTTAAAAGCTCATGATTAATTAAGAAATCAATTTAGGCACACTAATAAACTACAATTATCATAATTAAATAAGTTTAATTCCGGAGGGCGTTACAGGTTGTGTAAAAAGTAAATAGTCCAATCAAATATTGGGAAAAACTTTGCTTTCTGTGATGAATTTGGATAAGTTATCTCTGAAATATATCTAGTGATTCCTAGACCTTGTGAAGTTATATACTACATTGTGTATTATATATGCTTTTCCACAATTATCTTAATCTTCTTTTTTCTTTTGATACTAAAAAGTGTGGGGAGGAGTTGCCCGGCCGTAGTTATTTTCTTGGGCGCGCAGGGCTATAAGGGATCTCTTTACATGTTAAATAATGTTCGCATTGAGCCATAATTACTTTAGGAGACGAAGCACATCTACTCAAACTCTCAAACATGAGATTTATCGTTTACTAAACCACTTGTGAGTAAGCTAAATGCTATAACCTACGACCTTGGTGGTAATCCTCATGACCAATTACAAAGTCAAGTACAACATTGGAATTTACTTATTATCACATACAATGTATATCTTGTATACAACACTTTTCAACTAATTCAAAGGACCTTTTTTTTTTAATTATATTTGGTATGAACTTCTTCCTCTAATCTTTTCGTATTTGGAAAGATTTAAATTGTGGTACTTTGAAGGATTTGAAATCCATCAACCAGCTCATTCCCTCCTCTTTTTCCTCCTACCAAACAACCGTGGGAACCAAAATTCTTTCACTAATCCCCTCATCCCTCTCCCTCCTCCCAGTTTTCCTTCCTACCAAACAAACTCGTAGTTAGAGCGTCGTTAATTCAATGTCAAAGACCCAGTCATAAGGTCTTACCAGCCAATTTGAACTTTGAATTTTATACAATCACAGTACATATATCGTCATGGATTTAGAACACTGTACGTTTAGAGTAGAGCAAATAAAAATGTGAACAAAAAGAAATCCTTCTAAGTTTGTATGAATTGTCGGAGAAAACATACAAAAAAGAAAAGGGAAAAAAAAACAGTTGCAATATTTACCACATCAGTCATGTACATTTGCACCTTCCTTCCTTTATTTTATTTTATTTTTTGTCGTTGTAGATTTTATCTCGAGATGTTTACTTTGAGAAAGGTTAATAACATCTGTCAAAAGTAAAATTTTGAGGATTGAAAAATTCAAATAAGTAAAAATTTCAATGCACGTGTTTGAAAACTTGGAGAATTTTCACGTGGAGGGACTACTTCTGGACAAATCCACTTCATAAACAGAGTAAGGGAATATTTACGGTGAGAACTGTACTTTTTTCTATTATTAGTAACTGTTATTTTAATTGTTAGATTAATTTTTTAATGATTTGATTTATGATTGAAAACAATAGTGTCGTGCGCTAAAAATCTTAATGTGGACACTCAAAAAATTAATCCAACAATTAAAATATTAGTTCCTGCCAGTAGAGAAAAAAGGTAGTTCCTATCAGTAAAGTTCTGAAGAGAGAACCTTCAGCTGAATATGAAGCAAATTCAGCTTGATCCAAAGTTATTTTAAATCGGACCAAAATTCATATTTTTGATAATAAAAAGTCATACATATTCTCAGATTCAATTGCCCAAATGCAAAATATTTACATATGCTATGTTGTACACATCTAGCAAAATCTATAACATAAGAATCAAGATCACAAGAAGATTTCACAACATTCAACTAGAGAAAATAGTGTAGTGTCAACATTTAGCAAAGAAAAATACCAATTGGATGGTATAACTTGGAATGGTCATGGTGCTCGTATGCACCGCATGAAGACCAAAATCATGAAACAAAGACGGTCAAGATAAGAAAAATGCGCGCTCGGTTATATTATAATGCCATTCTTCTGTGGTAATCTTATTTCATTTACATTTTTAGTTGGGAACTATGAGTCGCAAGACTCGGTACTCATATTTATCAGCAATGACATTTCTCATAGCTATGTCAAGTAAGAGGAAAAGAAAAGTATGGACTCATTTAGGAAGTATGTTTGAACTATGATTTGGGTTTTGATTTAAATTTTTTGTGAGAAAACTATTAACGGGAATTTTTTTTTTATTCAAATTCTTTGTGAAAGAAAAATAATGTAACAGAATCATGATTTGAATTTTGAATATATGTATCAAACAACTCATATATAACTGAGGTGAGGAAAATGAAGAGAAAGTGGACGACTTTCTGAATTGAATCCTGACCCATCCATATCGAGAGATTATGATTAGGGTTCTTTCAAGGATTTGAAATCCCTTACTTAATCCGCTCCCTTATCTTTTCTCTCCTACCAAATAGCTATAGGTCTCAAGATCCTTCTATTAATCTCCTCACCACGCTCCCTCCTTCCACTTTTCCCTCCTACCGAACAAGCTCTAAGAGTACGGAGATACATATGCTCAAAGTACCTTTGGCATCACAGGCAAATTCCATCAGCAACTCAATGAAATTTCATTCCATTATTTTGTGGACAAGTTAGAAAATCCTAGCACAATGTAGCCATTTACAAAGGGTATATTTATTTGCACAACTATGTATTCATTTCCAAGGCTAGTTTGTCATACCACATCACATAACATCATTGTGGTAAGGTTATTCGCACGAGTTCCTTTTTCACTTGAACATAGAAGTAGTACACTGGATTATGTGAAAAATCACTGGTGCTTCTATAACAGAATGCGTTTCAGAGGAGCATAAAAAAACCTGCTTCATCAATGTGAATAATGCTGCAAGGCACCTGTGTTTATTGCCGAATGAATATTGATCGGATAAGGTACGTCAATATTCCAGCAACAAAACAAGAACTCCTCATTTTTACCCATGCTGATGAGTATTGTCGTCGGCTCCTCACTATTACAAGAGCAGTACTCAATTTGATGTTTCCTGGTACGAACTCAAAGTGCTGATTACGGATTCGTATACCTCTATGCCCCTCAGATAGACCGTATCTTTCAAGAACTGCAAGAAAAGTTTGGGAAATGAGAAAGAAATGAGGCAATAAAGGACCGTAAATGGGGGGCTGGTTTGTCAAACCTCGTTATGATCGTGTAGTAAGATTGGAGTATTCGTCATTGGGGAGAATCCAAGGGCAGGAATTCCCAACTGTCTAATATATCGTGCGTCAGTGGTTGAAGGCAAGATTTCAGGCTTTGCAAGTTTCCCTCCGACTGCTGCAATAGCTTTGTTGAAAACGGGCCACCAGGGATTGGAATCATTTGTTAGTGTCATTAATGGGCGACCGAGGTAGTCTCTACTGGGACCTTTCTCAATTACCTGTCATGCATAAACGTTTGATTAGTACTTCTTCATTTATCTATGCTCCCTCTAGCTGCTAAAAAGACATAAGAAACGAAAATAATGTACAGGTACAGGACTCTACATTTTAAATGGCATCATCAAAATGGTAAAAATCTTATACCTATGTTTCAGTCTCTAAATTGAATATAAATGCAACATATAAAGCCTGGTAAAAGAAAAAAGGAAATATATACACTATAAGCTTACATTGCTTGTATTGTAAATGGTTAAACTGGTGGATAGAGCCTAGTCCTTAACAGAAGAAATGGATTCAATTGACAAAACACAAAATGGCGAGGTGAACACTCTACTGCTGAGTTATATCCCTTCCCTTGTCCCCCATTGACCAGTAGAAGAGCCCTTTAGAAATGATCAAGCCCCCTTTTGAAATGTTAATCATTGCCTAAGGTACTCTTTCAAAAGGAGTAAAAGTTAGAGACAACAAAGTAATATAACTTGAAATATGAAATATCTTTACAAGGAGAAGGAGCATAGCGGGCAACATGATTTTGACCGAAAACCAGCAGCAATTTAGACAGAACATGATAACAAATAGAGGATGCAAGAGCTTGGAGCCAATTAGTCCATCATGTGGAAGATATCTATACCTACAATATGAGTTTCTAACACACACACACACACACAGAGGAGAATGCAATTTGTTTGACTTTCTGCCTCTCAAGCACAAAAGGCAAAGGAATTAAGGTGCACGGTATCTTTGAGAGAAAGCTATGTAGTTAAGTTTTAACCATCACGAAGATTATATCTCAATAGAGATCACATATCGGTAGGTATTTTAATCTGGAACTAGTTTAACTACATTTTAGAAAGCCTAAAACAGGATAACAAAACTCAGAAGAACAGAAGCAGATAGGTCTCGCTCCTACGGGGAGACTTCTACAGCCTTATCATACAGGACATTTGTTGTTTCTCCTAAAAAATAATTGATAATGAAAAGCTTTAATCACCATTGCCTCCTAGCATTAGACATAATTTTCCCCGGATTACGGTCTTGAATTCAATGGTCTACGAAAACAAGATAGACAAAAGATAACACCCATATAGCGCACGTCTCAAGAGTTATGAAGTTTAAGGACATAAGAGTTATAAAGTTTAAGGAGATAAGTGTATTCCTTTGGAGGTCGTAATCTCTACTTTGCAAAAGTTGTACAATCACTTGACAGAGGTTGCATTTATAGTTTGATCTGTTGATATTGACACGCTAGATTTCAAAGTACACTGTCAAAGTGATACGTTGTGATGTTCAAATCTTTGAAAGACGAGAACAATAATCAAGTTCATCATATTTTAAATAGAAGCACTTGGAATTTGTACTAAAGAAAAATTAATCACAAGGTAATTATATCACATTAAACTTATAGGTTCCATCCTCTGATATTAAAATATTACTATAATCACAAAAGGATGATCACCCATTCATGGAAAATCTTAAAAATTGCCTCATCTTTTATGAACTCTAGTTTCAAAAAAATTATCAAACCTGCACAATCCACACTGCTTTTGAAATTTGATGAAAAGAATCCCATCATCAATGGCCAATATCAGCCAAGTCAATCAGTTAAGACTAGAGAGAATCATTCACCTCGTAGGTCATGTTCCTAACTGCTGGTGCCCATTCCTCAGAAATTTTTTTCCTTAGAATATCAGGGTCTGCCGTTGGCGGCAATCTGACATCAAACCCTGCTTCCGCCTCCGAAGGTTGCATATTCATCACAAACCCCTACACAATAGAAGCAGCAAAATCACCATAACCAAAACACACAATCAACAAGCAGCAATTCAATACTCACAGCACCACATTCAACTAACTCATAGCTGGAGAAGGACAACATCTTCTCCTTAAACGAAAATACAACATCTATATTTTGGTCATTACAAATTGCCGCAAGCTATTCAAGCAATCGTGCTAGATCAATTACCAAGCACTTTTAGATTCACTGCACTTTTGAACATCTAATTTTTCTCAAAGCACAGCTAACAGTGATCATTTTAAAAACCAAAACAATTATATGCGCTTATCAAGTCCCTATTTTCGTTGTTTATAAATGTCCGTGGCAATCCAACCACAGTTCATCAATCGCTCAACAAACTGCGTCTCAAGTCTTCTCACGAGTCCTGGAAATCTAAGGCCCTATTTGTATCACAGCTCGAATCACAATTCAACCTTTTTGCTATAGTGTTTTCTCACGCAAAAATTTAAATTTTAACTCGAGTTATCGGCTCAAACCCGCAAAAACAGGGCCTATTTTTTTTGCCCCAGCTTTTCCCTTGCAAAGTTGAGCCTAATCATTAACGCAGAATTATGGCGATATTATTCATACATTGAGGGTGAACCACAGCAACTCCTATATAAGAACTGTGTTAACATTAGTCATAGTATTGAATTACCAAAAACTAGAAGGTCCATAACTCAAAAACTCACAGTGGGAGAAGGAATCCCGGCCTTCAAATACACGGGATTAACGGAAACAACCTCCGAATTCGCGGCTTTACCGGCCTTAACGATGTCGAACTGGCTGTCCCTGAACCTTGTAATCATCTCAACGCTCTTCATCAGATTCTCCATGGCACTATTATCGTACATCCTCGAACCATGCCCAGGCATCCCCTGAGCCCTAATTACCAAATTCCACGGACACCTATCTGCATAAAAGACTCTAAACTCTTCGCCAGGATTGGCCTGCCCTTCGTCCAACAAGAACCCGACGTTCAGCGTCCTGAACTCCTCAGAGGCGGTGAACTTGGCGGCGCCGTCAAAGCCGCCGATCTCCTCGTCGGGGACGTAGGACAAGTGGACGGTCCTGATGGGCCAGAAGTTTTTTGATTTGAGGTTTCGGATTGCCTCGAGGTATTGAATTCCGATGCACTTGTCGTCCTGGGCGCCGCGGGCGAAGATGCGGCCGTCGGGGGATTTGGCGGCGGAGAAAGGGGGGTGGGCCCACTTGGAGGGCTCGGCAGGAACGGAGTCGAGGTGGGAGTTGAGAAGGATGGAGGGGAGGGAGGGGTCGGAGCCGGGCCAGGAGAGGAGAAGGAGAGGCTTGGATTTGGAAGGGGTGAAGTGGAGGATTTGGGAGTGGAGGCCGAGGAGGTTGGCCTCAGAGAGGAGGTAGGAGACGGCGGAGGAGTAGTCGGGGTTGGGGTGGGCGGTGTTTATTCGGAGGTAGTTTCGGAAGCGTGTGATGGGATTGTCCGACTCTTCTTCATCTTGTTGTTGTTGTTGTTGTTCTGCTGCTACTGATTGGTGTTGGTGGGTTGGAGTTGAGAGGAAGAGGAGGAAGAGGAGGAGGAGGGAGAGAGAGTGGTGAGAGTTGGCCATGGCGACCAGCGTAGAATTGAGGAGTGAGTGAGTGAGCTTACTGACAAAGAACAGAGTAGCCTGAAAGTAGCAACCAAAAATGGTTAATGCATTTGCACTTCAAATTATCGCACGGCAAGGTCGTAGTGCGAATTTTGCGCGTGGGCAAAGCACTTGCTTCCTTCAACACGAAACCTAGTTGGATTTTCTTGCTGAAAGGGCATTGGCCAGCCGTAAAACAACGTGTCATGAAAATGCGTCACAGGCTCCACGTTCACCCACGCGCCTCTCAACATCGCGTGTAATCGAAAAGCAAACCCCATTGTAAAAAAAAAAAGGGAGAGGATTTTTATTTTGTTTCCCCGATTAAATCGCAGAAGAAAAGAGAGGAGAAGAAAGGCACAAGAAGACGACAGAGTGACCGTTGAAAATCTCCGAAATGGCGCAGAAAATCAGCCTACGCGCTCTAGTGGCGTGGGCTTCAGTCGCCGCCGTGTGGTGGATGGGCCTTCTGGCGACTCCGGCGACGGCGATATGGTTGAGCATTCCCAGCTCGGGAACCAAGTGCGTCTCCGAGGAGATACACTCCAACGTCGTCGTTTTGGCCGATTACTACGTCGTACATGATTTCATTGAAGTTCACGATCAACCACCACAACACATCCCCACCATCTCCGTTCGGGTAACGAATTTTGTTAAAATTCGATGCTTCATTGATTTCTTTGATTTTTTTTTTTTGAATTTTTCTAAATATGAGCTGTAGATGAATCTAGGATAGATCAAATAACTGCCGAATTCGAAGGAATAGATGCCAAATTTTAGGAAAAGAAAACAAAATTATATTGTGTGTGTGTGTGTGTGTGTGTGTATTTTTTTAATTTCGATGGACATTTGTGAAAACGGCCTGAAAATGTGGACCTCCTAATCTATGTAAATTGCTTCAAATTACAACCAAAAGTGTAAATGCCAAAGGGTACTTTAAGCTCTAATTATGGCGCCATTTGGCACATTTGATCTTGTTAAAAAATTTAGTTTATTGGCGAAATCTAGAGGCTTTTACATGTGAATTCTATCTACGGCATTCAAATACGTTGATAATCGGTTCATATTGCAAAGAATTATGGAGTTTAGGGATAATTTGTGTATGTTTTTATTTTTTTTGCCGGATGCATTGTGCCAAAAAGGGGCATGGTTATAATGCAATTTCGCTCGAGTGAAATGTTCAAACTGTAAATCACTAAGTAAAAGAAATCTGAAGAGTATGTGGAGAGTGATGGCTTTGCTTTTTTAGCTTTGGAATTTTGAACTTTCCTTCGGAGATAGATTCAGAGAGAGAATGCAAAGTGAAAAATGTTTTAATCCTAATGTTGGGTTCGTTTTCACTTTTTGCTTTGTGTTTTTAACAGGTGACATCGCCATACGGAAACAATCTACACAGCAAAGAAAATGTAACCCAGGGACAGTTTGCATTTACAACCTCAGAGAGTGGAAACTACTTGGCGTGTTTCTGGGCAGATGGCAAATCCCAGGAGGGATCAGCCTTAAGTGTTAGCTTAGACTGGAGAACTGGAATTGCTACCAAGGATTGGGAGTCAGTTGCAAGGAAGGAAAAGATTGAGGTAAAATGCACTAATAATTTTTACCAAGTTGTCTTGCAGAATTTTGTCATCTTAGAGGTTTACTTTGTGCATTTTGTGGTCTATAAGGGTGTAGAACTTGAGCTTGCGAAACTTGAAGGAATGGTAGAAGCTATCCGTGAGAACCTAAACTATCTTAAGGACAGGTTTGTTCACTATTGTTTTGAAGTCTTTCTCTCTCTGCATGGAGGGTTTTGCTTCAGTTGCCGTATCTTTAAGAAATAGTCATTGTCATGCAACCTTTATCTGCGAATATTTGCATTGCCCGACTTTGTTGTTAAACAGCACATAATCCATTTCTGTTATCCGCCTTTTAGAAAACACTTTACAGGTCTACTATGTTGATAGAAACTAACCAACTCTGATGTAAAAGATAATTTTTTTGGGTCTACTGGCATGATTCAAGCCATAGTAGACTGTTCATAGGACTACCTAGGCGAAAAGACAGGATGTGTTTTGCCGAAATGCTAGTGATTTTTAGAGTACTATAAATTGTAACGAGGACAACGTACCTGCTCATGATCTATGAAAGGGCAAGTAGCTTGTTTTGTTCGAATCCAGTTTGTGATATGGAAGTTAATTTTTACCTGGCCGTGGTTCTAATGTGCTGTTTTTTCATCGGATTCATTGGAACCTTTTAGAGCTCTTGGAGCACAAATATAATGTTGAAAACCTCCCTGTCACTACAGCAGACTTGATTCATGTTTTACTTCGATGGTACTTTTTCATAGCCTAACCGTGAAGGAAACGAAAATTCTGACAGTTTTTATAGGATGAATGGATACTATATTAACCCAAAAACAGTGATAATAAGAAACTAGAGAAGAACCGCTCTCAAACTCTTAACCCTTGAATGGTTTTCATGCACAAAGGTGTGGTTTCAGCTGTAGTTGATCTAATCATTGTTTTTTCCTTGTGTTGTTTTTATTTGTTATCAACACAGAGAAGCAGATATGAGGGAAGTGAGCGAAAGAACAAATGCAAGAGTCGCATGGTTCAGCATCATGTCCCTCGGAGTTTGCATTATTGTTTCGGTTCTGCAGTTGTGGTACTTGAAGCGCTTCTTCCATAAGAAGAAACTTATATAGGTTGTATTTCTTCATATTTAGCTCCTAATACAGATGCTGAGATGGTCTAGAGAAAGAAAAGACCAATTTTTTATATACCTATGATGTAACATATACATACAGGTGAAGAGTGATATTGGGTTTAGCTTGTGGAAAAGAAGGGAATGATGTTTGTATTCTAAACAGTTTCTTTATCTTTTGGGGTAGAATTCTTCTTTGGCAGTTACATCATCCCGGTACAATCATATAGACAAGTGGAAATAATTGAATCTTATGATTGCGTTAGCCTTAGCTTGAATTGTAAGATTGATTTTGGTATCTCTTCCCCCTTTTTTATTTTTATTTTTATTTTTTTTTCCTTCATGGTTTTGTTTCTAGAAAGGGTTGTATATTTATATTCTTCTTCTTTTGGCGGCGGCTTCTTGAAATGCCTGTGGAGATGCATTACTAATGATGCCCCTATTTTCTCAAGTCAAACATAAGTTACGAATGATGTAGAAAAAATAAGGGGCTGTTTTTTTTGCCCTTTTTGAGTTAGGTGACTTGAGTGTAGATTTTGAATTGAGTTTGAGTTATAACTTGAGTTGAAGTTATAACTTGAGTTTGTGTTTGGTTGTGTACATTTGAGTTATGGTTTGAGATAAGAATCTTTTTGAGTTTGTGTTTGAGTGAGTCAAAACTTAAATTTGTATTTAGATAGTATTTTAATAAAAATTCAATGCTGATGAAAAATTTTAATAGGGTATATGGGTGGGGTTTTATTCGTCTTTTCGTTGTCAATGCATAGAAAAAAAATCATCTCAATCAGAATTAAAATGAAAAAGTTATAGTATTTTTAAGAATAGAAAAAATAATATTCATTAATTTGAGTTCGAGTTTCTGAACTCAAGTTGATGGGGAAACTTGAACTCGAGTTTTAGTCTCAAACTTGAGTTCAAGCCTTGTTCGTTTCGCTGATTCGAGTTTAGAATTCGAGTTGAGATGTGATTTTATGTGAGAGTTTTTTACTGTAGTAAAAAAATTAGATGTGACTGTTTGTGAGAGCTTTTTACTGTAGTAAAACTCGAATCAGCGAAACGAACGAGAAAAGAACATGAACTTAAATAAAGTTGTAACTCGAGTTTTTTTTTTTTTTGAGTTTTTAACTTAAGAATGGAGCTACCGAACAATCCCTAAAACTCACAGGAATGAAGCCAATTCAGAACCTGAAAGGGTCCAAACAACAATTCTCTCTCTTAATAATTGCCTGTGTGTAAAAATTCATTATTAATAGAGGTGTTAAAAAAATGACAAACTAAAATCCCCGCCAAATAAAATAAAATTGAACTAAATCGAACCGAAAATGATTAGATTTTTATAATTGATATGGTTTGTGATTAGAAATTTTTAAACCATAAAAATCACTAAACTGATCAAATTCTTTTATAATCTTTATCAATAAGTATTGCTGGTTATATTTCTCTCCATTTTTTGTACTTACCTTTCTCAGAGCTTAATGTTATTTTTATGTATTTATATTGACGCAGTTTAAAAATGAAATCATTTTTTTTTTTTTTAAATTTAAAACGAAACCAGTTACATTTTTCAGGGATTTCTATTTTGATTACGCTTCCGTACAGTAACTATTTTGGAATCCAAACTGATAAGTCAATGTGATATGTGTAATTTTGAAAATAGCTAACAATAGATAAGATCCACTTTTGCCAATATAAGTAACCTAAAAATCCGCTGAGCAAAAAAAAAAAATTAAAAATCCAAAAATCTTCCAACAGAAAAAAGGAAAAAAAAATACGTAAAAGAAAAAAAATAAAAAATATGGAAAGATAAGAGAGCTTTTCTGGTAGGATTAGAAAAAATTAAACTACCGGTAGTTTATATTTTTAACCGTCATATTTTTATTAAAAACAGTGTATTTTACATACTTTTTAATCCGGTACGATTTTAACTTAATCTAACAGTTAAAATTTCGCACTACCGGTATATCAAACCTATTAAAAAAACTCTCGAAAGATAAACAAAATTCTAATAGGAAACCAATTAAGACGAGGAGGAAAAAAAAACACCACATATTCATTTTGAATGAAGATTATGGAGAATGCTGAGAAGTCATGTTGCAGTTCAACGTTGAAAGTTCTGACGAAGCATCACTATGCATGGGGGGTTTTCATGCAACCAGTTGATCCCGTGGCTCTTCAGATACCGGATTACTTCGACTACATAAAGAAGAAAACTGAAGAAGAATTTGTATTCATTCATGGCTTCGTCGACGACGTGAGGCTCACGTTTTCAAACGCCACGGCGTATAACCCTCCTTTTTCGAGACCAAGTTGAAGATTTTGAAGGAAAATTATACTCATGATCATTTTCCAAATTCTTAAAATGAGACCCCAATGCCAAAATAAGGGAGTTTGGAAGCCGTTTGGTCCCAATTTTTTAAATGAAAAATTTTGAAAAAAATTAAAGTATTTGTTTGGTTGCAACATTTATTGGAATATTTTTAAGTTTTTAACTTTTTAGTTAAATCATATTAAATAATATTTAATATAAATTGTGAAGGGTAGTTGACATTTTAAAATATTTAATTGCTTTTGTGGTATTTTGAGTATGTTATTATATAGACATGGGTGTTTTGGGCATTTCATGATAAGAGGAATACAAAGTCATATTTAGGTCCCGTTCATTTTGCCGATTCGAGTTTTGCTACAGTAAAAAACTCTCAGAAATAATCACATCTAATTTTTTTTTTACTACAGTAAAAAACTCTCACATAAAGTCACATCTCAATTCAAATTGGCCTTTAGAATATTTGGGTAATTTTCCTTTTGTCATTGGGGGAAACAAAAGTTGGAATTTCATAGGCCTGTTTGTTTTTGTTTTCGTTTTCGTTTTTCACGTTTTTCGAAGCTAAAAACTGAAAACACACTCTAAAAACGTGTTTGGCACAAAATTTTTAAAAAAACAAAAACAAAAACGTTTTGTCTTTTTGTGAAAAAATGAAAACGAAAAAAATCCGTTTTCTCGTTTTCGTTTTCATTCTTCTGAAAACAGTTTTCATTTTTTTTTCTTCTCTCTCTTCTCCACTGCCCACCACCCCCGACAGCCCCCTCCCCCACTCCGACATCAACACCGAC